CGCGGCGCTTTGTGTTCACAATTCACTGGAACCTTAATTTTTGATATTTTTTTTTAAGTGAAACTTTTTTGGCGGCGATTGGTTGGTTGGGAATAAATTGGCAAATTCAATGGAAATTGCACACGGAAATGGTGCAACGGAAATGGTTGGGACGGAAACAAGTGCATAAAGATGAAGGCAAAAATGAAGACCAAGGTAAATCTAAACACTTTACTTATATAAGGGCAAAGGTGAAGGGGAATATGTAAATGGAGAAAATGATAACATACATAAACAAAAAATATTCCGACGAACTGATAACCTCCTCCTTTTTTGGAAGTCGGTTAAAAACAAAGAAAAAGATGAGGATGGGGATACCGATAAAAGTAAAGATTAAGATAGAGAAAGAAAGACTAAAATAAAGGTAATTATGGAGAACAGGATATAGATAGAGATCGAGACTCAATCTGGGAAAATAATTAGGGATTTTAGAGATTTTTGGGATTCTCGGGACTTATCGATATAATAATCGATATTTTTATCGGTCTTCTTATCGATTTTGTTATCGATTTGTTACTGATTTTATTATGGATATTTCTGTAGATACTTTTTCGATTTTGTTATCGATATTTTTATCGATTTTCTAATCGATTTTGCTACCAATATTATCGATTTTGTTATCGAAAGTTTTAAAGATTTTGTCATCGATTTTGTTATCGATATTTTATCGATTTTGTTATCAATATTTTTATCGATTTTGTTATCGACATTTTTATCGATTTTGTTATCTATTTTGTTGTCGATAGTTTTATCGATATTTTCATCGATTTCCTAATCGATTTTACTACCAATATCATTATCGATTTTGATATCGAAATTTTTGTCCAATTTGTCATCGATTTTGTTTTCGATATTTTTATCAGTTTTGTTATCGACATTTTGTTAGATGTTACTTTGACTTTGTTCTCGATAGAGTATAAACATTGTTTATTTATATTTGGCCGTTAATTGAAGACTCTGCTGATTTTTTTAAGCTCAAAGCCGGGTTGAAATAAAACAATCTGTCTTTGTTGTTTTTAAATCGTCTATATTTCGACTTCATCCTAAAGTCTTCATCAGGACTGCTATAAATATCTTAATTACAAAAATTGCATAAAAGGCTTATATATAGTATGTTGATAGTCTTATATATAATATATATATATATATATATACAAATATCTATATATTTTTTAATTTTTTTCGTAGAACCCTGCAATTCTTTTCAACTAGTTTTTACTATGTAACATTTATTAACTAGAAACTCGAACTTTTTTTTATTATGGTGCATTTTTTTTATAACATTTAAAGTTTTTCTTGTGAAATTTTTTATTTTTTTATTGTATTTTGGAGGAACCCTACAATTATTTTCAACTGGTTTTTACTATGCAACATTTATTAACTAGAACATGAGGGTGGATTTTCTTTAAAATTGTTACTTTTTCTGCAATTTCCACTAAAAATTTTTACACTGTTTTGTAATTAAATAATTTTTAATATTTTATAATAATAAATAATTTTTATAATTTATGAATCGGATAAATTTTGATTGTGTATTAAAAACATGAATAGAGGGTTGGTATTTTGAGAACCGGGCATAAATTTTAGTAATTTTAAAATTGAACCTCAATTTTAAGTAATTTAAAAACTGGACATTAATTTCTGGTAACTTATAAATTGGACATTAATATTTGGTGCCTCATAAGCAAAATATAATTTTTTTATTATATAGAAAGTGGACCAAAATATTTGGTAATATAGAAAATGGACTTAAATTTTTGGTAAACTCAAAACTGGGTATAAATTGGCAGTAATTTTAAAACTTTACGAAATTTTTGGTGATTTAAAATTTGGACATCAATTTTTAGTTATTCTAAACCAATGATATTTTTCTGGTAATTTTAAAAGTAGACACATATTTCTGGCAAAGTAAAAAATGGCGATACCTTTTTTGGCAATTTCCAAACTTGCCATCAATTTTTATTTAATTAAAACTGGACGTAGTTGTTGGATAATTAAAAAATTGGAATTTTGTAACTTTTATGGATATATTTTTTTGGTTATTTTTAAAATCGACACATATTTTGGGCAATAAAAAACTAAGCATTAAGTTCTTGTCATAAATTGGCGTTGAAAAATTGTACATAAATTTTTGATAGTTTTAAAGCTTACCAAAAAAGCTTTGGTTATTTAAAAAACATACCATTTTAATACGACTTATAGCAAGTGGATTTCATATTTCAGCTTTGCAAGTTGTTCAAAGAATGTTGCTCTGCCTACCCGTATGCATATATATGGACCACAATACATACATACAGGACCACTTGTTACTATTTACTTTTCAATTTATACAATTGAATTGCTTTTAATAAATAAGTTTATTTAATTTTAGTAGCAAAAAATTTAACTCAAACACTTCTATTAAATCCTCACATTTTCATTCTTCTTTTTCTTTTGCAGCACAGCACACGAACTTCCACTTAACAAACCGCATTGTAGAATCCTTGAAATCTTCAAGTGGCTGAAAGTTTCACAGTTTTTACAACGCAAACTATTACACTTGAGTGAACCACTTTGATGTCAACTAAATTGGTGGCGACAAATTTTTGTCTGCAAATAACAATAAAATAATAAAAATGTGTTGCTGTTAGAGAAGACAGAGTGGCGAGGGAGCAACGAAGGAAAGAAGAAACGAAATGAAAACTTTTGATTCAGCTGGAAAAATACACAGGCAAAACGACAAATAAAAACAAACAAATGCGATATACCAATAACGATTTAAGTCAGCTATTAGCAGCGCTGTAAAGGACATTGCTACATATGAGCATAGATATGCAGATACAGATATATATATATAGTTAGATACAGTTGTAGATACAGATGCTGTTATAGATACTGATACAGTTATATATGTAGATAGCCAGACATAGCAGCATTGGCAGTAAAATAACCAAAGCAACGAAAATAAATCACAATTCAAGCAAATGCTCTTTAAAGCTAAGCAGAAGTAGTTGAGCAATTGCACCGTTGAACTAAAAAAAAAAACATACATCCCACTTGAACTTAAACTACGTTGGTTGAGCATGAAAAATTTCCAATGGAGTGCAATGCATGCAAGTGGTTGGCGGAAAACGAGCAGTGGTTATATGAAGGACACAGTGATGCAGCATTTAAAGTGGAATACGATTGAATAAATAACAAGAATAAGAAAAAATTATAAAAAATACGCAAATATATAAACTAAGTTTCGAGCGAAAAAGCTATTGAAAAACATGAAATATTAATATTTTTATGTTAATGATTTTAAGTACTTTTAGCCGTAAATTTTTGAAAAATTTGTAGTAAAATAAGATTAATATTTGAAGTAAACTCTAAATAAAAAAAAAAAAATATATATATAGAGTGAAATAAAAATCTTATATGTAAGAAAATTAAATTAATTTAATAATAATATAAAGAAAATAAAATAAAAATAGAACAAAAACATAAATTTTTATAAAGTAATAATAAAAAATAGAATATAACATATAATAATATAAAATAAATTTATAAATAACTAAAATAAAATTAATTAACAGCCCTAGACAAATAAAAAATAAAATGGAAATGAATTAAAAAATTTTATCAAAATAAAATTTTATAAAAGTATACTTTTATACAATAAACTAAAATTAAATTTCAAATAGCAAAAAAAAAAAAAATTAATTAATTGTTAAACACTTAAAAAAATCTTAAAAATATAAAAATATTTATGAATTTAAAACAAAAATAAAATAAAAGAACGTGGAGTATTAAATAGAATAAAAAAAATCTAACGAAATAAGCTGAAATAAAAGGTAAATAAAGAAAACACCCAAAATAATATATATCTTAAAATAAAATTATATAAGGCATAATAAAATAATACTAAATAAAGTAAAAACTATACAAATAATTAAAGTTTGTAAATGATAAAAAATAAAATATATTAATTAAAAAAAAATGTATACAATATTTTAAAAATTAAAATACATATAAAAATAGCATAAAATAAAATAAGTAATAAATAGAAACAAAATTGAAAAGCAAAGGAAATCTAAAATCTGTGTTTATCGAATTTCCAAGAACAAGGTCCCGGAAACGTTGAAATTCTTTAATAAGTACTTGCAAAAATATTGAAAAATTTTAAATAAAACTTCAAATTGTGACATTTTATAAAAAATAACCATACAACGTACAACAAAACGTTACTGTCTTTCTACATAGCTTTAAGTGGAGTGAATTTGTGATATTTTCGAGCTTTATTGCAAATGACATATATGCAAAAAAGTTGGAGTTTAGTAAAGATTTAGTAAAATTGTTGTGCAATTTAAAGAAAGCCTTAAACTATATTTATACTCATAAAGCATATATAAAACTCATGTTAAATTAGTTTGCAAGTTGTAAGTCATTTTTTTTTTAACAAAAAAGTACATAAGTAGTGGAAGCTTTTTATAAGTAGCGAAACTTTTTTTTCTTAAAACAAGCAGACAGATTTTATAAAACAAAATTGTCTAAAATATTTAGTCAACATCATTAAAGCCGTCAATCACTTTGCATAAAATATTTTTTAAATTGCTTAAAGTTAAATTATTATCTAATAACAAGACACAGCTGTTTTTCAAGCATACTTAAAGCTCTTATATTTACTCAACAAAAAAAAACTCTAAAAGACTTTTGTGCTGATTTTCCAGCGCAATAACGAAAAACCTTCAAATTCTCCAGCCGCTAGTTACAATTAAATATTTTACAAATAAGATACGTATTTCATATATAGCATAATTCAATTTTTTTTTTAACGAAAAACAACACTTTTATCCACTGTCACTACCTCTTTCACCTCCACAAGCAGCTCCTTATCGCTCCGCGCCTGCACTGCTGCAGCTAGGAAACACACCGTTCTCCCTAAGTACGCATTCGCAACCACCCCACAGCCTACATAACCCACCCATCCGATGACTGAGTTCAATGGGCGCACGGCTTTTACCCGAACTTTTTTCATCAACTCAAATCAGCATCACAACGCATACCAGACTTGCTCAACAAGAGTCCCGCACTGCTACCACCAGCCGATGTTGTTGTCGACAGCTCCACCACACACGATTATGATGCGGCACCGATCAACTTGCAGGACTTCATACAAAGCGTGTCGGGCAATGACATCTACGTCGAGTATGTCGCACCCACTGATTCCACGCAATTCGCCTTCGGCTCAAGCACTGCGGATGGTGGCGCCCTTCCTCGGCACATCTATTTCCACAGCTGACACAAAATTTCACATTTCAAAATTACTATACCAACGAGTCGACGAGGTGTTGTGCAAGGATGTTTACCATCCGGACGACGATACGCGACTGGAGTTCTGGGTATGCGGTGTCGTCTCTAAATATTGTTGGCATATTTGGTATAATTGGCAATATTATCTCAATGATTATACTATCGCGTCCACAGATGCGTTCCAGCATCAATTACCTGCTCATCGGATTGGCGCGTTGTGATACGACGCTGATCATTACGTCTATGCTGCTCTTCGGTATACCCTGCGTGTATCCCTATTCGGGGTATTTCTTCTACTATTACAACTATGTTTATCCCTTTATTTCACCGTCTGTCTTTCCTATCGGCTTAACAGCGCAAACGGCCAGCATCTATATGACTTTCACGGTCACATTGGAGCGTTACGTGGCCGTCTGCCATCCGCTGAAGTCGCGTGCGCTCTGCACCTACGGACGCGCCAAGATCTACTTCATTGTGTGCTGCATATTCTCGCTGCTCTATAATCTGTCCACGCTTTTGGGAAGTTATGACAGTGAGCTATCAACCAGAGGGTAGCGAGATAGTCTATCACTGCATACGTCCGTCACCGTTGCGACAAAATCAGTCGTACATCAATATCTATATACATTGGTGTTATCTGATTGTCAACTATATTGTACCATTCCTGACGTTGGCCATACTCAATTGCTCTGATATATCGGCAGGTGAAGCGCGCGAATCGTGAACGTCAGCGGTTGTCGCGCTCAGAGAAGCGAGAAATCGGTTATGGCAACCATGCTTATTTTCATTGTGATAGTATTTTTCCTCTTAAATTTTCTCGCACTTGTAGTGAATATCGACGAAGCGTTCTATCATAAAATCGATCATTCACTTACGAAAATTTCCAATCTGCTGGTGACGATCAATAGCAGCGCGAATTTTCTCATTTACGTAATCTTCGGCGAAAAATTCAAACGTATATTTCTGTTGATTTTTTTCAAACGCCGCCTCAGCCGCGACCAACCCGATCTTATACACTACGAGAGTTCTATTTCGAACAACGGTGACGGTACGATAAATCATCGTTCATCGGGCCGTTTCTCGCGACACGGTACGCAACGCAGCACAACCGGTACATACCTCGTAACAGCCGGCAGCGGCTCGAACAACAGTACGCTGAAGAATGTGCGGCTGGTGCAGACCGGTTCGCCGGGAGTAGTGAAGATCAAACGCAATCGTGCGCCATCGCCGGGACCAGTTGTCTACTATCCGGCGAGAGACGTTCAACGCACAACTGTTGTGACGCCGGTGGCGTTAGCGTCCAACAACAATACAGCGCTGAGTTGCGATTGGATCGACGGCAAGAATGGACAGATGACATCGGGTATCTGAGATCGGTGGTAGTACAGTGGAGCTCAGATGCGGTTGGGCGGCGAGAGTGTGTCAGAAGTGAAAGTGTATAGCTGTAAATATTAAGTTTATATGAAAATAAAAAAAGTGAAATGACTAATAGTTAGAAACAAATTCAATTTTATTACCCGATTACCTTCGAAATTTCCATACGGACATGTATACATATGACCATAAGAAAAAAATATTGATTTTAGCGTTGATGCCTGCTATTTGCTAGCTGCTAATAAATATATCCGTTTAATAGCATAAAAAGTGGCCTATCCGTACCGTCCATTAGGGGTGAGCACGATTTTAGTTCATTGAAGTTATATTTTTAAGTTTCTAATGGTAGCTAAGTCATATGGCCCTTACAATGGATGGACTCTACTCCGACTTACGAGAAAAAAGTACAGAATAGCCATCGACATTGTGACTTTATCCCAGAGTGACGTTGCTAACCAGTTTGATGTGAAGGACAGAAAGCTCTTTTCATGTTTATGAGAAGATAAAAGCAAGGCCTTGTAGGTGCAACCCCGAGAGCATATCGACGGCTGAGCGGAAGATCGACCTACATATCTCGACAGCCGGTTCGAAAACGCACGCATCTCAGAAAATGGATCAAGAACACCCTTCTTCAGAAGAACGCCACATCTCATCAAATAGTTCAAAAACGCCCCATCTCAGCTTCCGTTATATTGAATTTATATTGAGATAGTGGGTTCTTGGATCATAAATCAATAAACTTCCCCAAGTTACCTATTTCTTTCACGTAGTTCACTCACTCAAAAATAACCCGAAAAGAAATGTTTCATCGACAATTTTTAATTAGTTCGTTAAAAACTGAGTATAGCACAACAAGGGACAATGCTGAACAGATTTTATTTTATTTTTTTTTTCGTATTTTAAAAAGTAAGTCTATAACCCTGAAGGCTCAAGTTACATACTATCAACTTCACTAAAAGATGCTAAAAGTGCCTTCNATGTGAAGGACAGAAAGCTCTTTTCATGTTTATGAGAAGATAAAAGCAAGGCCTTGTAGGTGCAACCCCGAGAGCTGAGCGGAAGATCGACCTACATATCTCGACAGCCGGTTCGAAAACGCACTACCTCAGAAAATGGCTCAAGAACGCCTTACTTCAGAAGAACGCCACATCTCATCAAATAGTTCAAAAACGCCCCATCTCAGCTTCCGTTATATTGAATTTATATTGAGATAGTGGGTTCTTGGATCATAAATCAATAAACTTCCCCAAGTTACCTATTTCTTTCACGTAGTTCACTCACTCAAAAATAACCCGAAAAGAAATGTTTCATCGACAATTTTTAATTAGTTCGTTAAAAACTGAGTATAGCACAACAAGGGACAATGCTGAACAGATTTTATTTTATTTTTTTTTTCGTATTTTAAAAAGTAAGTCTATAACCCTGAAGGCTCAAGTTACATACTATCAACTTCACTAAAAGATGCTAAAAGTGCCTTCATTGTCGATTTCTTATTTTCTACGGATCGACTGCAAATGAGCTGAAGGGAATAAATCTTTGTCAAGTCAACAGTCGTCGTTCATACGGTGTGCACTCTGACGTTTTGTCGTCCTCAAAACCAAGCCGATATTTCGTCCCTGTGAACATATTTTTGCGGTGCACATGAGAATGCAAGCGTTTGTGACCGTTTAGATATCCAACAAGCAATATGATATGAGCTGTATTTAGAAAAAGGATACCCTTTCCAGCGATAAGATAGCGAAACACATGTCTCGAAGAAGACCAACTGCAAAATGGTCGCCGTTCGACAAGAATAGATGATGAGACTTCTCTTCTTAATTCACCGGCGAGTTCATCCTACCCGATATCGGAATGGCCTGTCATTTAACAGAGTGTTGTATTCAGTCCAATTGCGTAAGTCGTAAATTAGACAAAATTTCACGGCTGGACCAAATTGGCATTGTCTACATGGTACATTGTAAAGACTGAAATTCAGCACATGATTTTTTTTTGAAGTCAAAACTTGAAGTGGCACAAGCTCGAAGAGATCATCCTATTGGAGAGGACTCTGAAGCCCGCTTGGATATCTAAAAATACAGCTATAAATGCGCCTTCCAATCCCTTTTCAAACTTTCTTCCGAAACAAATCAACTAGTAAAAGAGCTTCCAAAATAAGATAGTATATTTGTCCAGATTTCGCGGCCTAATATTTTTCACTGGAATTTTCTGTCAGACCAGGGTTATTTATGCTTAGATTAAAAAGGCCCTAAGTTTTCTGACACTGGGATTTTTCCAATTCATCTGTCAGCTGTATGTAGTTCCAATCACTCAAGACTGCTGTTGTTTGAACAAAATTATATAACGGAGTATATCCCAGGGGCAACTACAAAGGCGGTGCCAAATAAATTCTCATTGTTTCAGTCAACAAGAGCAAAGCTAAAATATTGGGGTTATTAAATCCTCTTTCGATAATATTTGAAGTCTTGGTCACCAGCGGCAATTAGATTTATGAACATTTGGTATACGTTTGCGTACGGTATAAGAACCGATTAGTGTGGATTCATGGCCTTAGCCAGGTAGAGGCAGGGGAAGGGCTCCAAGAAAAGCACACAATGAAGTCTCTTTAGACTCGATTTTACTTTCGTACTTATCAACCGAATGTGGTTGAAGGCAAACTTAGTAGGATGCAAGGAAATTAAATGCTTCAAGGATTTTTTAAATTCCGGTTTTTTTTTGAAGCCTTCAACGAACGATCGGGTGATTTTGTTAGGGATTTAATTTGTGTAATTAAAAAAAGGGTTATGTTTGAGCATATTTCATGTCAAAGCTACATTGCTTTCAGTGGGCGGAGATAAACTTTCGTAGCGAGGTTAGGCTATAGAAAAAAGGTTTTGTGAAAATATTGTCTTTATCGTAGTCGTATCGTTAATCCGTATCAAAATCGATTGATTCGCGCTTAGCACATAACGTAGGTTTGCCTGAACCTGATCTGTGAGATCTATTAAATGGCTTCTTTTCTTTTTTTTTTGAGGTATATCGCAAACAATACATATTTCGCTAATCAGAGGAATAAACACTGCGGCAGTAGTGGGCACAAAAACATTTTAATTTTTATTGCATAGCTACGCTAACTATTTTAATTAGGCTACAAAATTGATAAATTGGAATAGTGCAAAGAAGTTTAAAACTAAAAAATTATTATTTACTTAGCTGAGCATACACTCGACTTAATTTAATTCTCTGAAATTTAGAAAAAATTCAGTTCATGAAAGTCAGTTTAATATTTTTGGTATTCTAACTGCAATCAAAAGCGCTAAATACATCAATAAATTGAGCAATTAAAATATGAAATACAACAACGTAAATATTAAACAAAGTTTCTACTACTGTTTACCAACAAAACACAGTCTGATGTAAAGTTCAATAAACACAAATGAAAATATATAGATTAATGTTTACTTACAACTTTTGCAAATGGCATTAGTTAGCCAACTACAACAATTAAACAGACGAATTTATCCGTGTAAACTCCGTATATAATTGTATTTTAATTCACTGATACTTAATAACTATTTATAAACTGTTTACAGTTAAACAAATTCATGTACTCTCCGCACTTTCACTCCCCTTCAATGTTTGTATGTACATATATTTATGAATGTAAAAACAAAAACAAAAAACATTGTAAAATATTATATTAGATTTAAATGTTAGTTGTAAATATTTAGCTTAAATTAATTAGCAAATAAACCTCTTAAATAATAAACTACCTGTGAGCCATTGTTCTTTTCTTCGATTATACAGATATGTGCATAAATATATATCGTAGTTGTGAAAGAATAAATACAGTGTATTCTACATAATTGTGCTACTTAGTTATGTACTCGTACATGTGAAGGTGTACATAAAAACGTTTACTTGGATTTTATTCAAAAATATTATTAAATTGTAATTATTGCGATAAAAGTTGCTGAAGCAAATGAAGTGAATATAAAAAAAAAATAATAATAATTTTGTGAACAAAAATGATCGTTTTAAGGATACTTGGCTGCAAGCAGCAGAGAAAATAAACAGATTGAGTTGTTAAAAAAAGTAAATATCTCTTTATTTCATTAATTTTTATTTGGGTAAGTATGAGCAGTTGGTTCGGTAAAACTCTTTGCAAGTCCCAAATAGGTATTCGTATATTATTATGAGTATAACACCGTGTGACAGAAACAAAAAAAATGTTGAAACATGCGAAGCAACCAATATACTCACGGAACATAACCGTTATTGATGAAAGTTGTAATTGAAAATAAATATTTATTTGTAGTTTTTAATGCAAAAAAAATGTAAATATATTTTTAATTTTGATTTTACAAATCCAAAATAACAATTATTTTTGAAAGTTAAAATTTGAGTTTGGAAAGTTAAAACTTGAATTTTATTTTTTCGGTCAAATATAAAAGTTATCAACTGACTTTTATTTTTTTAGCCAAAGTAAAAGTTAAAACTTCAATTTTATTTTATTGGTCAAATATAAAAGTTTAAAATTGACTTTTATTTTGTTTTGGTTAACTTTTACTTTTGACCGAAAAAATAAAAGTCAAATTGTAACTTTTATTTTTAACTGAAAATAAATCGGTGAAAAAATAACGATTATTTTTTTTTACTATTTTGGAAAAAAAAGCATAACCGTTACGGTACCTGGATACATAAGAATAGATGTCTTTTTTCACCGGGAATTAAATTTTAAAATAAATTTTTATTTGTAATTTTTATGCATAAAAAATATATATTGCGATGTTTGAAATCACATCGTGATTGAATTTTCTAATACACCTCTAATTTGAGTATTTATTTAAAGAAAAAAAACGCAATGAAATTCAATAAAATTTTCCTACACGGCATCTAGGTATAGCAGCGATTAATAATTTGATGAAATTAATCGATTATTTCTGTTCAATTTACTACTTAATTGTATCGTAGTTTTGTGATTTATTAATCGATTAATTGTAAAATAATCGTAAAAATATTTTCAAGAATTATGATTTCTGTAGCTGTCTAAATTGCAAACACCGCAAGAATTACTCTAGTTCAGAGCATACAATAGTGTGAATAGTTGTGCATTTAAGCCCATTGTAAATGCTACAAAATCAAAGGTCCTGATCGCCTTTTTCTAACAGCTGGTGCTACAGCCCAAAA